TACTATTCGAAAGATATTATAAACTTCTCGTAGGGTAAGTTATAATAATTGTCCAAAAGTAGAAAATGTTTTTTTTGTATATCTTAACGTTTCAAAGATTTCTGAACCAATTTGTATAATTCAATACACATTGGATTTCTATTGATAAGGAGACGGGCTGATTAGTTATTGGTAAAAACAGGCTCAGCCGTTTTCTTACAGAAAAACAGGCTCATTACTTTTAATTACTAACTAACTTGCCTTAAGGCAAAATGCTACTTAAAACTATTTTTTAAATGTTTCTGACAACCGTTACCTTAAAATAATTGAAATAGTTACACGAGCAAAATTAGCGCATCTGCATTAAAACTTCAGCGGAAAGTTAGTAATTATAATTAATGTTGCAAGAAATATATAAAATCTTACATAATGCACAAAAGCAAGATTTGCTACATTTTTCAACCATTTGATTTACTACAATGTGCAATTCTTTTAACCAAACAGGTGCACATTTATTCGTCAGAGTTTTATAAAAGCGTGTCAGAAGAACAATTTATAACTTTCTTCTTAAAATGTACAATTTTTCAATTTACTTCGCGTTATGGTCTCTCGGGCGCATGTTTCTAAGCAAGTTTATAAATATTAAATAATATCGTATGATAAATGTATAAAATAGAGTTGGTTTTATTCGCCTGAATTCTCCTTCAACATAAATCGTATTTTATCCGCCGTTTAGCAATTTTCTTCCGGAGTAATAACACTTGCTTCCGAAGAAAGACATTCTGTCAGTTGCAGAACTTGATACGGACTAACGAATGTTAATGAGGCTGAGACAACAGTAACGTTCTACAAAATAAATTACATAAACACAAGACTTGGAGTTTTCATTATCCTATATAATAGATGTCAATTTACACAAATTTCAACGATTTTCAATTTTATACTCGTATAATTGCTTTTTGTGACACGCTGCGAAATGTTAGAATTTCTTACTGGAAATGTATTCTTTAATTTTATCACAAAATATGAGTTTGTACAATAAGATAATGCCGACCACTTAAAGAAAAATATTGACTGAAAAAATTAAAGCGTGTACAATAATTAGTTAGTAAACTAGTTAAAAGTGGCATTTAACCTTAAGGCAAGTTGCATGAACTTCCCGAAATGTTTATAATTGACTAACCAACAAAATGGGAGTTTTGCATTCACATGAAATTTTCGCTTTTCAATTAAATCTAAAACGTTATGATTTCCAATGAATTTTTTAAACACATTTAAAAAAATATTATCTGTATTTGTATTATTAATATTGCACAGACACTTGATTGACAATTGATATTGTTTAACATATCTCATCACAAAAGCTACTTTCGACACAAATTTTGTATAATCTTCTTTCAAATTTTCATGAATTTGAAGACCATGATATTTATCGCCAAAAAACATTTATAGAAATCACCTAATTTTTTTTCAGCAGTTAATTACAAGAACTTGTGCCAGCGATTCTTTACCAAAAACTTATTAGTAGATTAATAACCAAAATTTTTCAAACGGTTTTTGAATTTGCTAAATTGATTCAAAATTACGGGCAAACACAAAAAATGTTTCTTTTTCTGCTCTTTACAAAGAAACGGCTCAGCTGATCGTCGCCCAAAACTGTTCAAAGGAAGTCCTTATCAAGTAGGAAGAATGGCGAATGAAAACTTATTGAAGAAACTAGAATTTAAATTATTTGAATATTTAACTTTTAATATAAATAAACTTACGGTTTGGTCATTTTTACACCAAACTTTATAGAATAAAAATATTCTCAAAAAAAAAAAATTAAATTAGTTTCCAATATTTCTATTCAAAACAGTTCTATTCTGTCAAAAATTGGCCTCTATAATGTTGTACAAAATAAATGTTTACGGTATTTTACTTTTTTGCATGGTATTATGATTTTTTTATTCTACATGAAAATATTAGTTTGCTCTATATAAATTTATGCCTAAAATACGATGCAAGCAAAAATCATAGTCAACAAATTCTCAATTTTAATTTTTTATGAAATGCTTTATATCGAAAATGTGTATATTTGCCTATATTATTTTTTTGATAAACATTATTTGCAATATATAATACAACAATAAACATATATAGACTTTCCTTTTAAATATAATAGAAAGTTATATTTTTCGGACCGCTGTATTGAGATTTACTTTGACAATTTTTATCTTAATACAATTAAAAGGAAAATCATATAGATTTATTTGCAATAACGTGAACAAATAGTTGTGCTTTAAGGCGAATTTCTGTAACTTCCCGTACCAAAAATTAAACGTTTTCAAGGCCAATCGTGCTGCGTATCTGTTATACAGAAGAATACAGAGGCGCGTAAGCGCCGCATCGTAGTCTAACGAATCAACATTGATACCGCACCCATAAAAATATAAACAAAATGCATACTTACTATTAAAATCTTTTTAAAATAAAATAGAGTAATTCGATGTGCATATTTCTAATGGCGTTTTTTATTACTTTTTTCATTTGGCATCTTTTTGACCCATATCTTTGAAACGGCTAGACCTGCCTTTGCCAAAAACTAAACAGCACGTCACCTTATCACTACAAATCGAATGTTTTTTTCAATTAGTCTTCAATTCAATTAGTCAAAATTTTGTATCCGCACACACACATACATCCATTTTTTTCTAAGATATACCAAAACGTTCAGAAATCTCTAGAACGTAAAAATATATTATATAAAAATTTTCATTATTGATTATTTTTTCTATTATCATAACTTACTCTGCGGGAAGTTAAAAACTGTGGAAAATTACTCAATACTATGACTCAAAAAAAATGATCGAATTATTTATTGTCTTTCAAAAGGCAATAAATTGATAACAAAACAGTAATGACAACTACATTACTGAGTAATGCAAAGTTTGCAGAATATAGTCTTATTTTCAATTAACGACTATTTATTTTGTTAGACACTACTTTATTATTGAAATATTTAATAATCATTATTTTAACACACCTTTTTGTATATCGATGACTACACGAGCGTAAAATCCTGAGCATACAATATTTTCTTGATGCTAAAACGTAAAAAATACCTTAGTAAACAAAAATGAAAAATATACCCTTGTTCCTAATATGAGCGTATGAGCTCTATCCCAAATAAACATGTCTATATTATTCGCCTTGAAATATTTTGCAGGAAGGTCTGCTTTATAGATATTTAGAAATGCCTTCCTTTCGCATCGAAGGGTTTATTTATTGTGTGATATAAACCTCGATAGATGGTGAGAGATTATTTTCCAGTTTCTTCGCACATGAATTGTCTGTAAAGAAATATCGTTGTAGAAAATTCAACAGGTGTAAAATCTTTCCCAAACGGGCCATAATATACACACACACATATATATATATATATATATATATATATATATATATAATGTATTGGAATTTTTTTCACAATGTATTGTATTCTGGAAATTTTGTTATATCAAGTTTTCTTCATATAAATAGAAATTGTATGAGATTGTTCTACTGTTTGCCAAGAACAACTTTGCTTTTCAGTTAAATAATCTTTATATGATTATTGAACAAGATTTAATATAACAATCGGTTTGATGATTTGATATATCAAGTTGTACTATACCATTTTTCTGTTTCATATCTAATTACGAAGAAATGTTTTTCAGCATATTTTATACCTATTAACTTCCCGTATGGTAAGTTTTTGTGATCGTCTAGGAATCGAAAATATTTTTTTTGCATATCTTCATGTTTATGATGTTTCTGAACATTTTGGAAAACCTCAGAGAAAATGTATGTGTGTATGTGTGTGTGTGTGTGGGCGTATGTATGGATACAATTTTTCGTCCACACTAAGTTTGCTTATTATTTCTTGCCACACGACGTTTTACTGATATTTTGTCCTAATAAACTGTGTAACAGTGCTATAGATTGTCTTCAAATTTTCAACTAACTATCCTTTCCTAGATTCTCTTCACGATTTAAAATATTTTTTTAAGTATCCTTTTCCTAATGCACTGTTAAATTCACCTTTAGTACTAAAGTCCTTTGAATTTAACTAAAAAAAGTATCAATATTCACAAAACATCACTAAAACAATTAAGCACGTGTTAATTTTGATATTTCTTCGCGAATTTGTTATTTTATTTTAATCATATTTTTTTTTAGTGCTGCCGTTAACAATTATATAGCATTTTATATTACGTTAAGTGTTGTTAATGTTATATATTGTTATATTATTCAATTAAATTATATCATTATTTTATGTCTAATTTTAATTGAATTTTTTAGTGCTACAACTATGTAAAAAAATAAATAAATAAATAAAATAAAGTGTGTAGGAAAATGTGCATCACCACTATTGTAATCATAAGACCTACTTGCCCAATTGGTATTCAAAATTACAATTTATTCGTCTTAATTTGAGAAAAAATCCAAAAAGTAATTTACATTTTTATATTAAATTTTGAATGTGATCCTGTTACTTATACTCAGGGTCTTTTATAAATTTATTTATTTATATTTAGCAAAACTACAATATTAAGCATTAAGAGAATGAGAGTAATGTAACACATTTTTAATAATATATAAATCCTTGCTCTTACATATTCGTGTCGTGCTAAATTCCTGCATCGTATAAATATTAGTAGGATGGTTTGATGATTGGTAAAAACATTCAAAATCTACCCTGAAAATATGACATTTTATATCAAAACTTCAAATTGAAAATCGTACCCCATCTATATCAGATATACATTGACAAAACAATGTCAGCTTGTTTATAAAATGATGAACGCTTGGTTTTGATTATCATGTATAATGGACGTATAGCATTTAGAAAAAATAATCTGCAACAAAACAGATAGAGATATTTGGCCTAACCTATCGCTGAAGCCGTAAAAAGCGCATTTAAAATTTTATAGAGTGATTCTAATTTCGAAAGATTATTAAGTTGTACATAAATTGAAATTTTCATGAAAACAGAATCAAAAATGTCCTCAGCTTCGGATTACCGAAAAGAAATGTCTCTACCTACTGTTAGGCAGCGCAGTTTATTCACAGCAAATGCGTATACACAGGTAAATTGTGCCCAAGTCCCTTAAAACTATTAATATTTCCAAATTTACATCATTTTTGATGCAAAGTTTGACATTTGAAACGTCAAAATTTGCTTACAAAGTGAGGTTATCTTTCAAAGGGGGTTGTATGAAAATATCTCATTTACGATGTTTATAGGCTGAGTATAATGAATATTTTCTTCATAAATATAAATTTTTATTTTGTTGGGTTTAATTTAAGTTTGTTCAAATTAATTAATAAATGTGTAAAATACTAACAATTGTAAATATTCTTATAAATAAAGCTCGATATGACATTTTTTTTTTAAAAATGTTTTAGATTTTAATTCATTCAAATCAAAAATTAAGTGTGAGTAAATTTAATGAAAAAATTTACAAAATTTATTTAAAAATATTTCGTTACTGAAAGTAACCTTGATACCTTCTATATGATAAACTTTCTCTGTCATGTACTACAAAATGCATTTAATACTGATCCGATAATTTTTCTATATGTTACTAAATAAGCAAGTTCAGTAGTTTTTAGTACAATTTCTTTAGAGAAAATTTAAAAACTTTGAATATTAATAATTCAAAAGAGGAATATAAATGAAATATATTAATAATATAAAAATATTCGCCTTAACAATATATTAAGGCGAATATGAAAATATATGTAAGTAATGCTCGATAATCATTTGAGAAATTTTTAGGGTAATGCTTGATCAAATTGAAAGATGGTATAATTATTTTTGTAGATTTAGATTATAGATTTTCCAACATTTATTAATTTACTAAAAGCAAATATTTTTTATATCATACATCGATCAAAATTGAGAAAATGAATAAGTGAGGTGCGGTTCATTTGATAACTATGAATTATTCAATGACTAGTAATAATAATTAGTTACTTTTTGCTTCTCTGCTTTATATTTCAGTTACTTATATTTTTTGTTCTTCTGTCATCAATCATCTGCATTCTTCTTCCTAGTTCTTTCGGTCGTTCTATTATTGTCTTTGACTTTGTCGTGCAGCATGCACTCTTTTTGCAATATGGATCCAACCCAGTTTCTTTTACTTTTCTCTATAATGCTCATTAATTTGTTAGTTTGTTTGTACACTTTAATAATATTACCAATATGCACCAGCATATTTGATAGCATTTATTATTAGCTTTTAAAAAACGTCGATACATACATCCCTTTATGATAAATTCAATTGTTCACGATGCCTCAATAATAACACTAGGTTCACAAATATAAAGTTGTTTGTATTGGATATGCATAGGGGTTCTAACGTAGTTTTTACCACTAAACACGAATCTGAAGTCAAAATCGAAGGTGAAATGGCAAAAATAAAAAAAAAACGACAAATTATCCGATATAGTAAATTTTCTATTCCATTTACATCTTCCATTATAATTAAAATATCATAATTTCTGATCTATTTTACCTTAAATGCATTTCGTTTTCTAATCTATTTCACCATAAATCCCTATTGAGTTTTAATTAAATGATTCACATAGTTTTCTTTTTTTAGTTACAATAGTGAACATCCAGCAATATTGATAAATAATAACATAAATTTAAATAAATAAGAGTGCAAAGGATAGAATTTACATGAAAATAATATCCTTAGTATGATGATTTGATAAAAAATAAAATTTACATAGTTTGTTTTTGTAAACTTCATCAACAATTTTCAAACATATTTATTCCCTCTTGCCCCTGAGTAATTTGCAAACATACTTGCTAATAAATATTTGAACAGTTGTTCTTCAAATTACTGCTCATATTTACAAAAAATAGTAGATCATTGAAGAATCCTAATCTTAATAGATCATTGAAGTGATACTAAATGTATGTGAGAAATATTAATGATTGAATGGTACTCAATAGACATTCAAGGTAAAAAGACCAGAAAATGACAAAAATTATAATATTTTTAGTATCGTGCTATAGATCGGAGATTATGTTTTGCTATTTGCCCCCAATTCTGACCTAAAATTCGTATTCAGCAGTAAAAACTACATTGGAAAACATATGCCGCACACCAAATACATACAGACAACATTTTAATGGATCTGTGTAATTGACAGTTGTAGTAATATAAAATAGGTTAAATGTAAGAATTGTTATTAATTAAATCTCTTTTTTTATGTAAAAATGGGTTAAACAAAGAATATTTAATTATTCATTAAGTAAATAATGTTATGAGTTTTTGTTATTCTTCCTAGGGTGAAGTATATCAAACGGCTCCGCACCACGCAGACGAGCCTTCATCCACATCAAATATTGTAAAATGTTACGAAGTACCCACACACGGCGAAGGTTTGTATGCAGCAGCCGCAATGTGCTCATCATCGGCAGCAGCTGCATCCGTGTCTTCAGCAACATCCCTTACGGCGGCAACAACGTCCTCCTCCTCGAGCCTACAGCCTCTGTGGCGAACACCAGCCGCGAGAGCAGGGAAATGTCCGACGGGATTATATCCAGGGGATGATCTATATCCAGTTAGTTGGTTTTGGTTTAATCAATTAGTAGTAGTCGGTAATAGCTTTCAAACAATGATGATTTGATTTAACAAGCCCACAAATGTTAACAAGAGTTCTCCCGTTAATTAGAGGCTAAAACTATAGGTTTTAGCCACCTGACCTGCCTCATGTCAAGTTGTAGTGCCATCGATTTTCACTTCAAAATACATATAGCAATATATGTGCAGTGAATATAGCCTTTATCTGGTATTGCTGCATCAATAAACACAATTTTTACAATTACTGAAATTCAAATAATATCTCATCGCATAGAGATAGGACAACAGTTTGGGCCATCTTCATAAACGCACTTATTTGTGCCATATCATCACAACTGCATATAGGACAATTATGTTTGGGTAATAGCTCTCAATTGGTGATGATTAAATTTAGGTAGCTTACAAATTTTAAAAAAAGAGTTCTCCCGTTAATTAGTGGCTAAACTGTTGTCTATCTGATAATCATAATAATAGAATAGATTATCTACCTGATAATCATAATAATAGAATAGAAAACTGTTCCATTGATCAGTTGACTAATTAGTTAATTAAATAAATTAATATAAATCTTATGAAAATTTCCTCTTCAGTCTTCTAGAATTAGGAATCTCGAGTAGTACTGAAACTATGTGGTTTGGGTGTGTTTCCAGTTTTAAGTGATGGTGAAGGCTATTGCTGCTAATTGCATTCACAATATATGGAATGTTAAAATCATTATGGATAGTTTGATTGCTGATGAATCAGGGGACATCAGCGATTTGTCTCAAAATCATTGATTGGGCACGTTGTATAAGAACTATATTGGACTTACTAGCACAACCCCAAAGTTCAATGCCATAAGTCCAAATAGGCTTAATTATAGTTTTGTAAACTAAGATTTTGTTTACAAGTGGTAGTTTTGATTTGCGCCCTAAGAGCCAGTACAGGTCTTTAGTTGTTTGCTTCATATGTTTAATTTTGGCTAAAATGTGAGATTTCCAAGTTAATTTTTGGTCCAAATGAATTCCCAAATACTTAACACTAGTTTTTGTGGTAATTATATGTCCGTTGAAATTGTCTTCAGGAAATGTGAGTTTGTTGAGTGAAAATGAAATATGGTGGGATTTGGTCTCATTCATCTTAATGCGCCACTTTTTGGTCCATTCTTCGATATTATTTAGAAGTAATTGCAATTTGGTTGAAGCACATGTGTGGCAGATATCTGTAGATAGAACCGCAATGTCGTCAGCGAACGTGGTAGTAGTGGCATCTGGAAATGTAGGAAAATCGCTGGTATATATCAAATACAAGAAAGGACCTAGTACACTTCCATGCGGAACACCCGGTCAAGCAGTAGTGGCATCGGTTTTTACTTGAGAATATTGATAGCAATATGTGTACAATAAATATAGTCTCTCTCTGTAATCGCTGTATCAATAAACAAACTTTCACTATTACAGAAATTAAAATAATAATAATTTATAACATAGAGCTGGGACAACTGTTTGGGTTTCCATCTCAACCGACGTCGATAATTGTGCCGTATCATGACAACTACATATAGGACTACTATGTTTGGGTAATAGCTTAATCATGATTTAAGAAAAGTTTACCCGTTTATTAGTAGCTGAAGCGATGGATTTCTAATTGAAAATCCCATGTCAAGCAGTAGTGACATTGCGGTTCACTTGGAAATATAGATAGCAATATGTGTGTAATTAGTATAGTCTTAATCTGGTAAAGTGGTATTGCTGCATCAATAAATAAAATATTCACTATTACAGAAATTGGAATAATAATAATTCATAATATAGAGTTAGGACAACTGTTTCAGTTGATATCTAAACGGGGTCTTCCAACTCGTTGCCTCGTTTTTTATGCTGTTTTTGAGAATGAATTGTAGGGAAACCAATAATGCAATAAAGGTGCGGTTTTTAGAATTAAATTCATTTATTTCTATACTTTTAACATAATTTATTTATTTATTTTACTGAAATTTTACTGTCTCTATTTGACCGTAATTTGACCTTGAAATGTGCCTCACGTAAAATGTATACCAAAACAGTTGACACGATTAAGCTCAAGAATGTCGTCTAAAACAAAAAAAAAACAAAATAATTTATTTTGTTTATGACTTTGGCTAATCGACATAGTTAGTTGTTCAAATAATATATATAACTAGTTGCACGTAGCATTTTGTCTTAAGGCAAGTTGCATGAATAATAAAAATTGAGTTAGCTATTTAGGGGACTCATAGGGGACTGTTAATACGGAGTTATATCCAGATTATTTCGAATATAAAACTTTTGTTTTCATTAAAAAATAATCAATGCGATTTCCAATTGGTGTCTTTCAAATAGGTATGTTTGAAATATTCAAATTTTTCAAATATCTGTGATTTAAGGAATTAAATTAAGTTGCCTAACACAATAAATTTTAACCACTTCGGATTTTGGAAATGTATTTTATTAAAGTTTGGACGTCAGCTGTGATCAAAAGCTATAGCTAACTACTAAATGTGAAGCGTACGTTTTACGATTCTGATTGAAATCGCTTAAGTGCATGGCAAAATTCTAAATTCTGATAATTTTGTATATTTCAACCGCTTACCTATCAACCGCAGGCCTATGATATTTTAGTATGTTAATTCAGACTACGATATCTATCATTATATATCGTAGTCTGAAGTTATATATATATATATATATATATATATATATATATATAGTTTCATAAGAATCGTACAAAAATTTCAACATTTAATTACTAAGAAACGGCTTGACAAATTTTTACCGTTTTTTTACTCGATTCTCATAAGATTAATGGTCTTTGAAATGAAATATTTAAATAAAGTCTTTCAAACTGAGTATATACCATATTTTCGTAAACCTATACAAATTTATTTTCTTTTGTTTCATTTTGCAGATATTTTACTCATTTTCTTATGTAAATATAAACAGTAATTCTCTACTCGGTGTAACCATTGTTATATGGCCATGTAGCCATTACACATAACATCAATGGATGTATAATTTAATGAATAAAGATATGTTTTGTACATGCATTTAATATACATTTGTATATTAATACATTCAAATTCATACGTAAAAGCATATACAAAATGAGCACTTTACAAAATTATATAAAGTTAAATTGAACAAATATATATTTACATTTCCCTACAAACTTCGCAAATTATTAATGTTTAAACTTGGTTTGTATTTCTTTTTAGATTTAATTTATTTTTGCTTGCTCTTTCGGGTTGTTATGGCAATATCATATTTGCTCAAAGTTGAATTTGCCTTTCAATTATTCTGTATCAAGTCGCGGTCGTAAAGTTTTATGAACAAACATATGCTTCATATATTATCTAGAAACATTAGTAAAAAGTAGAGTACCATATAAACCCACCACACCATATAGAAAATAATTATAGCATGAGTAATTAATTGCTATAGGCAACTATATCTATATTTTTGGAACAAATTTTTAACTTACATTGTCTTGTAATATAAAATATTAGTAGTGAGAAAGATTTTGCCTCGAAACATATATATAAATATTTAACTTAATGAATCAGAATTAAATATTGGCAACTTTTAATATTGTAATAAAAATTGCAATTTATTGCAGTCTATTACTCCAATCTTTCATTAATTTTTATATCACTGATCGACTATTTATTAGCGATTCTATTTGTATATGAATCAATAATAATATTGATATGTAAAGATCATATCTGAGCAAAAGACATTTTTAACTTCCCGTTTAACACCGTCTAAAATCCAAAAAAAAAAATTCTTGCAAATCTTCACTTTTACTTTCTGAGGTTTCTGAACATTTTGACATACTTTATGAAAATGAATAAATGTATGTGTGTGTGATAGTGTGTATTTTGTGCGGATACAATTTTTCGTCCACGATTTCGGGCGCGCGCATCAACCGATTCGAATAATTCAACTGTAAGGAAGATTTTGCGATTAGTTTTTGATGTCCGATTTGAATGAAAACTATTCAATTTGTAATGATGGGGAGATGTGATGATTAGTTTTTCACAAAGATGGGTCAAGATCATTTGGCTGTTTCGAAATACGGAACTAAAAGTGCAAAGAACGGCTGGATGATGGCAGGTTTTGAGAGAACGAAGCATTCCTTCAAAAATCATTTTGCATATGTGAAGAAACAAGTAGTTTTTGGAAAAGGCAAAAAAATGATTTGAAAAAAGAATTAATTTCCAATTTTTTAAATATAAATAATGATTCATACTTCAAATTTAATTTTAGCTAATACTCTAAAGCTCCCTCATATTCTTGAAGTAAACAATTTAAACTTATTAGTTATATTTGTTGGCATAAGAACATATGTAAACGGCGTCGTCCAATATATAAGCTCTTATAGCTTGTCTGCAAAATACAAATAATGAAAGTTACAGTGTTTATAATAATTTATTTGAAAACATTTAAAATTCATCGAATACTTTATTACGGTATGAAAAGTTTCAGCAAGTTGCTTTAAGGCATGATGCCATGCACCACTGTTTTTTTTTTTGAAAATCTTCATTTCCGAAGGGAAAGTTAAATAATTTCAACATTCAATTAAGATTAAAACGGTCCAGCTGATAATTACCAAAAACCAATCAGCATGATTCCTAACTAGTGTTATTTGAACTTTTTTGAATTTTTCAATTCAGTTCCAGATTTTTAGCTAACACGTGGAATTTTTGAGAAAACGTCGACGATGGTACAAATTTCGACCCACACTGTACACAACACAGATACTTTTTTTCAATTATGATATAAATAGATTTAGAATAACTTGAACAGTTCCAACCTGTTTTGGGCCCCGCCCCACCTTGAGGTTTCTAAAAACGTAATAGTCCCTCATACATTTTTTTTGTTCAAAAAAAAATTGTTAATGATGATTTTCAAGATGAAATCACTATTAAAATGCCAAAAAACGGAAATTTCAAACTTATTTTATTACTGATTTTTGGAAATTTAT